TAGACCTTGTAGAGACAAGGTCTTGCTATGTTTTCCAGGCTGGTTTCAAACTCCTGGGCTCAGGCAATCCTCTTGCCTCAGCCCCCCAAATTGCTGGGATTACAGGCATGAGCCACCGCACTCCCTTTGGCCATTGCTTTATTGATAAACCCCATTTACTTCTGTAAAATCCCTGACTCGTTTGTACTGCAAGACCCCTGCAACTCTACTGCCACTGACTAGCTGAAGGTGTTAAAACCTAGAACCTGTGCTGAAAGGAACAGTAATGGGAATGGAGCCAAAGCTAAAAGAACTTCCTTAGCTCAGAGCTTCCCAGCAGTCAAGGCAAAAACAAATAAAAGGGAAGCTCAAGGGGTCATGGAGCTCTTGAGCTGCAGAAGAGGAAGCAAGCCAAATATCAGAGGGCGGGAGCCTTCCTGGCGCTGACCTCTGGAGGGGACAAGGGGACCCTTGTGGGAGGGTGTTATGTAGGGCTGGTTTTACTGCAAGATGCAGGAACTGCCCTGGTCTGGCCACTTCTCCTACCGACTCTTGGTGACAGCTGACAGCGTGTTGGTAAATTGTAGTTCTGGGAAGGCAGGTTTCCATAGGAAGCTTAAGTAAGAATAATCTAGGCCGGGTGCAGTGGCTCATGCCTATAGTCCTAGCACTTTGCAAAGCCAAGGTGAGAGGATTGCCTGAGCCCATGAATTCGAGATCAGTCTGGGCAACTTGATGAGACCTCATCTCTACAATAAATAAAAAAAAATTAGCTGGACATGGTTGCACTTGTTTGTAGTTCCAGCTACTTGGAAGGCTGAGGCGGAAGAGAGAGAGGGTGGGGGGGAGAGAGGGAAAGAAGGAGAAAGGAGAGAGAGATCTAATTGTGAAACTCTCTGGTAATTTTATTTGCTAGAGAGTCAACAAGCACTTACTAATTGTGTGGCTTTCGTATTGGCAATCTTATTTCGCTGTCTTGATGAAGTTGGAGGCGGAGGTTACTGCGCCATTTTACAGACAAGGAAGTGGAGGCTTAGAGAGACTGACTTGTCCAAGGTTGCATGGTCAATTAAGTGGCAGTACCAGGATTTGAACCTGCATCTACAATCTTTTCCTTTCTGATGACACCTGTTGGAGAAGGAAGAAGTGTCTGACCCTACTGTATATTCACTGTGCATCAGGAACCATCCAATCCGTACAGAAAATCCTAAAGGCACCTAAGAGGAGCCCATTTTGCAGAGAGGATTGGCAATTCCTGAGGCCATTCCAAGAGTTGGCAGTAGGGCTGCCAAGCAGGGGTTCAGCCTGGGTTTGGTGGTGGTGCCTCAGTTTGTGGAATTGCACACATTTGTTCCTTTGAATTTTTGTGGGTAACAGGAGAAAGGATAACTTTTTAATGGAATCTTAAATAAATAAATAAATAAATTTATCGACCGAGTGTGATAGCTCACATCTGTAATCCCAGCACTTTGGGAGGCTGATCTTGAGGCCAAGAGTTTAAGACTGGCCTGGGCAATATAGGAAGACCTGTCTCCTCAAAAAAAATTTTTCTTTTTAATTTAAAAATGGAGTCAGGTGCAGTGGCTCAAGCCTGTAATCCCAGCACTTTGGAAGTCTGAGGTGAAGGGATTGCCTGAGCCCATGGGTTTGAGAACAGCCTGGGCAACTTGGCGAGACCTCATCTCTACAATAAATAAATAAAAAAAAAATTAACCGGACATGGTAGCATGTGCCTGTAGTTCCAGCTACTTGGAAGGCTGAGGCAGAAGGATCACCGGAGCCCAGCAGGTCGACGCTGGGGTGGCATGAACGTGCCACTGCACTCCAGCTAGGGCGACGGCGTGAGACTCCAACTCAAAAAAAAATGGACCCGTGAGCTCAGGGAAGGAATCCTTGTGACACAGTTCACATTCCCTGAGCCCCAACAAGGGGCCAGGCACGCACATGGCCTTTATGGGCTGTAGTACCTGCGAGGGTTGGAGTGTACCCCCAATCTTGCAGGTTGCTCAGTAAGTTGCTTCTTTTCCATCATCATCTCCTGTGGCTATGGTGTCTTCCAGCAGCTAGCAGGATTCTTTCTCTTTTATGGAGCTGACAATTATTAGCAGGCAAAATGATCTGCTGTGCTTTGAGTGATCAGTGCCTGTTTCCAAGTCACTCCTGTTTCCTGACCCCTGGGAACAAGCCTAGATGGGTGATGGTTGGTGAGGAGTGAACAAATGAATGGATGTATGAATGAACAAATGAGTGGAAGTCGGTATTCAGGCTCAGCAAGACATGCATCCGTCTCTGGTGACTTCTGTTCAAGGGAAACAGGCCACTGTAGTGTTAAGAGAGATGTCTTGGAAAGCTGAGGTCAGGCCCAGCATTGATGACCAGGCAGAACGAGAGTGACCGGAGGAGCCTCAGAGCCACGCCCTTCCTTCCAGCAGGTGGGGGCACGTGGGGGCGGATCCAACCTTCCTGGCTCTGCTGTGACATGTGGCAAGGGCCAGGACTGCCTTGCTACCCCAAGGACCTAGGACCCCTCTGGGACCACACCGTGCCTGGCTAATTTTTTATTTTTTGTAGAGACGGGGCCTCTCTGTGTTGCTCAGGCTGGTCTTGACCTCCTGGGCTCACGGTGTCCTCCCACCTTGGCTTCCCAAAGTGCTGGGATTAAAGGTGTGAGCCACTATGCCCAGCCTGATGTTCTGAGCCAGCAAGGGTCAGGGCGCCAGAAGATGGAGAGAGGCGGGGTCCCAGGCCAGGTGCAAGCTGCCTGTGACTTGCTATGGTTTCTTTTATCTCAGCGTGGCCTGTCCCCGGGATAGCCCAGTGGCAGGGTCCCCGTCAGGAGCAGCAGCATCAGAAGCTGAGGACACATTCGGGTCAGAGTGACTTGCCAAAGGCCACACCTGGTGGTAGGCCTAGCCGTGGCTGGCTCCGAAGCCATGCGTCCCCGCATCCTCTTCTTTCCAGGGCCAGGAGGCCTCATGAAAGTCAGCCCCAAGCTTGAGGCCTCGTCAGCATGCTGCGGCCACTCCTCCTCCCCGGGCTGGAGAGCAGGTGTGGGTCTTGCTGAGGCTTTCTTTCCTGTTTAGAGTGTGTGGGGTTCCGAGCGCCCCACCGGCAGTGTCTTCGCCTCTGCTGGACTGAGTTGACAAGCAGAGGCCAGGAGTTGAAAGTGGGGGGTGATATTGGGAGCGTGTCTTGAAGTCTGTAGCATCGTCCCACCTCTACCCCCACCCTCATCCCTACTTTAAGAAGAAAGAGGCCAGACACGGTGGCTCACACCTACAATCCCAGCACTTTGGGAGTCTGAGGCAGGAGGATCACTTGAGCTCAGGAGTTTGAAACCAGTCTGGGCAAAACAGTGAGACCTCATCTCTACAAAAAGAATTTTTAAGTTAGCTGGGTGTAGTGGCACACTCCTGGAGTTCCAGCTACTCAAGAGGCTGAAGCAGTAGGACCTGAGCCTAGGAGGTCTAGCTGTGTTTGTGCCACCACACTCCTGCCTGGGCTGCAGAGTGAGACACCCTGACCTCAGAAAAAAGAAAAAAGAGAAAGCATCTTTGCACATATGAGAAAAGCCTTGGCCAAGCGTGGTGGCTTGAGCCTGTAATCCCAGCACTTTGGGAGGCCAAGATGAAAGGCTTGCCTGAGCCCACGGGTTCAAGACTAGCCTGGGCAACTTGGCAAGACCTCATCTCTACAATAAATCAAATAATTAGTTAGGCATGGTAGTGCATGCCTGTATCTGGCTACTTGGAAGGTTGAGGCAGAACGATCACCTGAGCCCAGCAGGTCAAGACTACAATGGCTGTGAGTAGTGTGCCACTGCACTTCAGCCTGAGTGACGGAGTGAGACTCCAACTCAAAAAAAAAAAGAAAAGAATGACTGGAGAAAAGCCCAAGATAGACCAGGAAAAGGGAAAAGGGAGGGTAGGGGAGAGCTAGGGAGGGAAAGGACCAAGTCAATAACCAAGGCACTTTCTATTCTTGTTGTCCTTTCTGTCCCTCCACTGGGCCGGGAGCCCCTTGCAGGCCTGGGTCTGGCTGTTCTTCTAGGGACTGCTGCTCAGCAGGTGTGTGGTTGATGAATGAATGAATGAATACCCAGAGGTTAGGCTGCTTCCAGCCCAGGAACAATCTGTGTGGCCTTGGTTGGTTACATCCCTTTTCATGGGCCTGTTTCTTCATTTGAGCTTATCTGCAAAGGCCCTGCCTGATAATTGTGATTTTTTTTTTTTTTGAGTTGTGGTCTCACTCTGTCGCCTAGGCTGGATTACAGTGGCGCAATCACAGCTCACTGCAGCCTCAACCCCCCTGGCTCAGGCAATCCTCCCACCTCAGCCTCCCGAGTAACTGGGACTACAGGCATGTGCTGCCACACTTATCTAGTTTTTAAAATTTTTGTAGAGACAGGGTCTCACTGTGTTGTCCAGGCTGGTCTTGAACTCCTGGGCTCAAGCAGTTCTCTTGCCTCAACTTCCCAAACTGCTGGGATTACAGGCATGGGCCACTACATCTGGCCTGATGTTCTGAGCCAGCATGGGCCTGGTCTTTGAAAGATGGAGAGATAGGACACAGGCTGGGATTCTGTGAGGACTTGGCCGGCTGTGGGGAGAAGGCGTCCTGGAGCTCTTGGCTGCTGAGCACCAGAGACTGGAGAGCTGGCAGGTGTGCACCAGCAGGGCAGGCTGGAGGGGAAAGGGCAAACACAGGTTTGGCTGAAAGGGCAGATTGCTGAGGCTTCGGGTCTCCGTGGCAACTTGATTTTTCTTTTTCTGAAAAATGAAGCACCCCGGCAACTCCTGGGCACTGCAGCTTCCTGTGAGACTTGAGACCGATTGGGGAAGGGAGGAAGGGAGGAAGGGGAAGACCAGACAAGCCCCCAAGGCAGGAGGAGAGGAGCACTGGGAGCAGGGACACTGAGGCATTAGGTGCTGGTGGGCCTGCCAAGGTGGAGTGGGCCTGGGGTCTCCCCATCGAGGGCTGGTGCCTCTACTGGTGGTTACTTTGCCTTGTGCTTTCTGCAGATCATGATCGAGTTCTGTCCTGGGGGAGCCGTGGATGCCATCATGCTGGGTGAGTCTCCCTTGATCCAGCACGTTGGGGGTTGGAGGACCGGCCCGGGTCCCAAGGCATACTCCTGGAGGCTCCGTCTAGAGCAGAGCCTTCACTTCCCACTCCGGGAACTTGCATGGCCTTTTTTTTGTTCTTGAGTCAGAGTCTCACTCTGTTGCCCAGGCTGGAGTGCAGTGGCACACTCAGGGCCACCGCAGCTTCGACTTACTGGGCTCAGGCTATCCTTCCACTTCAGCTGGAATTCCAAGTAGCTGGAACTATAGGCATGCGCCACCATGCCCAGCTAATTTTTTGATTTATTGTAGAGATGAGGTCTTGCCAAATTTTCCAGGCTGGTCTCGAACCTGTGGGCTTAGGCAATCCTTTCACCTCCTCCTCCCAAAGTGCTGGGATTACAGGCTTGAGCCACTGTGCCAGGCCTCTTTTTTTTCTGAATAGGGGTTTCACTCTGTCATCTAAGCTAGAGTGCAGTGGCATGATCATGGCTTACCACAGCCTCAACTTCCTGGACTCAGGTGATCCTTTCACCTCAGCCTCCCTAGTAGCTGGGACCATAGGCATCACACCCAGCTAATTTTTTGATTTTTCTGTAGAGATGAGATCTAGCTATGTTACCCAGGGTGCTCTCGAACTCCTGGTCTCAAGAAGTCCTTCTGCCTGGGCCTCCCAGAGTGCTGGGATTACAGGTGTGAAGCAGCCTGTGGCCACTTTGAGCATCTCTGCTTTGTCCCCTTTTGGGTCAGGGATTGGGTTCCTGGAGAGAATGCAGGACTTTCCTTGGAAGACTAACACTCCCCTTTTCAATGAATGGGTCACTTGCCCTCTCAAACCTTCCAGACCATAGGACAGGTGTGCTGCCACCCTTGTCTGACCCTACCAAACTCATAAGTGGTGAAACTCAGACATCTGAGGGAAGATCGATCTTTGAAAGGTGAGGACACCCACCCATTTTATTGTAAATGTCACATCTTGATGTCCCAGATAAACTTGAGCAATAACGACAGTCAAGTAATTTCATTGTGAATAGTCACTTTATGCCAGAGAATGTGGGAACTCTCTGTTTTCACATATATTATCCTCGTTTAATCCTTGCATCTAAAGTCAGATAGAGTATCTGTGTTTTCCTTTTTTTTTTTTTTTGAGTTGGAGTCTCACTCTTGTCACCCAGGCTCGAGAGAAGTGGCACTCTCATGGGTACCACCAGCCTCGACCTGCTGAGCTTAGGCGATCCTTCTGCCTCAGCCTTCCAAGTAGTTGGAACTACAGGCACACACCACTGCTGGAATTACAGGCAGAGCCACCGTGCCTAGCCCATGTTTTATTCTGTAAAACAAAAATTTTGGCCTGATGTGGTGTCTCATGCCTGTAATCCTAGCACTTTGGGGGGCCAAGGTGAGAGGACTTCCTGAGTCCACGGGTTTGAGTCCAGCCTGGGCAACTTGGCGAGACCTCATTTCTACAATAAATTAAGAAAAATTAGCCAGGTGTGGTGGCGCATACCTGTAGTTCCAGCTCCTTGGAAGGTTGAGACAGGAAGATCACCTGAGCCCAGCAGGTCGAGGCTGTGGTAGCCGTGAGTATGCCACTGCCCTCCAGCCTGGGCGACAGAATGAGACTCTGACTCAAAAATAAATATATAAATAAATACAAAATTTTTTGTGATAATGACTCACTCTTGCCCAGGCTGGAGTGCAGTGGTGCGATCATGGCCACTGCCACCTTCAACTCCTGGGTTCAAGCAGTCCTTCTGCCTCAGCCTTCCGAGTACAGGTGTATGTTACCATGTACTCAGCTAATTTTTTTTTTTTGAGTTGGAGTCTCACTCTGTCACCCAGACTGGAGTGCAGT